AAGAGTTTAATATTTTTAAGTAAGAGTTCGATTTTAAATATTATGAATAAAAAAATTAAATTTATAAAAGTTTATATTTTTATGAGATCCGATCAATTTAATTTAAAATTAATTAAAATTTAAAATAATTATCAAACATCATAAATTTTAAACGTAAAATATGAATTTTTTTTGTTTTTCTTTTATTTTTAATTTGGTAATTGATGCTCAAAATCTTCACCTGATTTCAATGTCAATCTTCATTTTTTTTTTAATCCATTTCAACTGTCATGTAATTTTAAGATATTGAAAATATCCAATAATTTGATTGATAAATGCTAGTACTATAAACAAATGAATTTAAAAAAAAAAAAAAAAAGGGGGGGAAAAAGAGCCGATGCCATTTTCACATCCGTCTTTCTCAGCTATTGAATTTATTAAGCAAGTTAGAGTGAAATTTATAGGAGTTTCAGAACTTAGACCACAAAAAAGGAAGGCATCAAGATTGAAATTTAAAAGCCAATTGAAGAGGTGCTCTTAAGTTCTCAATCATTAGAAAATGAACCTAATAACAAATTCTAAAAGGTTGTTCAAATATATCTAATAGTGCGAAACTATCTATCTTGCTATCTAGCTCATTCACACATGAAGATCTTCCAAACCCATAATAAAACTGTTTCTGAGCTGCATGACTCTTCTGTTGTGTTGAGTTTACGCAAACACATATTAAAAGTGATATAACAATTTAGATATCATTCGTCTCAAATCAGTCCTCCAATACAGTGCCAGCCAACATAAATCTTGTCAATAAGACAACTACCAAAAACCAACTTTCAGCATAAACTGAAAGTCTTAACCAAACTGCTTTAACTAGAGCAGGTTACAAGCTCAATGCAATGGATCAGCCACCAGGCATTGATGCAACACGGAAGGGCCATGTAACAAGTAAAATGAAGAAACAACAAATAAGGGAGCAGCAGACATCCCTCACCAGCATGCTTTTCAATCAGGACTTATCCGAGTCATTAGAAGCTCACCCGTCACCATTATATATATTCACAATTTTTCTTTTCTTGTGGCTAACGAAAAGTGAAGAATCCAGTGGAAGTTTGCATACAGGTGGTTAAATAAAAAAAATACTTATCTAATTAATTTTAGCCTATAATATACACGTTAAAGTAACAACTAACAAATCAAGCAATGCACAAAACAAGAGGCACAATTTTGCTAGTCAGGGATTAAAGCACCGCTATTCATAAATTACTCTAGGAGAACCATAGGGTTATAGAATGCATAACAAAACTTTCTATGCATTTGTTGGTTTTAAGGCATTCGTTATATGTAAATCTCATCGTCAGACACAAAAACTAAACAAAAATAAAGGAACTCAATCTATTGAAGTTGTCACGGAAAATACCAAACATGAAATAAACTAAAGAGAGTAAACATAAGTCCTAAAAGGCAGTAACCACTTTATTAACACTATGGATTCCATAGTTAATATTTCTATCAGCAGAAGAAGTTTCTCCTAGCAGTTCAACTGTCACCCGATGTTTGCCTTTCCTCGTTCTCTCTTTCTACTATTTCACTGCAAAAGGGACAGAAGTTTATTCAGTTTTTATGAGCATAATTTGCACCTAGAAATATCACAAAAAACTCGTGACAGAAAAACACCATTTCCTGCATATATACATTAACGATGTCTAAATCAATTCAATAAACCGTAGCTGATGCTGCACTAACTGTATATTTGGTAAGGAGAAGGATATTTTGAAAAGAAGAACAAGGGAAGGAAAGATAGAATAATTTCTCCACTAAAAAAATTATCTTAAATATAATTTTTCCATAGACAAAACATTTAAAGAAGGTAATTGATTGAATCAAGTAATTGTGATACCCAATACCCTTTTTCTTATAGTTTCCTTCTATTCTACCAACCAACCACATCCTAATTTAAAAATGAGAAACAAAAATAATAATAAAACTAGTTTAATGCCGACTTGTTTGCTTTAGTGCCAAAGCAAAAAAAAGTTGGTGAAATTAACTAGCCATTTTCTTCCAGAAGTGAAGTTTTTAATCATATTTAGAAACTAAGCTAAATCAAAGTATCGATATGTGCATGTCCTTATGTTTTGTAGCTGGAAGTGGGGAAAACTTCTTTACCTGGCAGATTTAGCAAGATCCAGATTCAAGCATAAATTGTGTATGAAAGATTTTGTGATTCAGCCATAAATTGTGTACGAAAGATTTCATCTAACAGTAAGAAATTCACGACTACTGATTTTAGAGTGACGTAGGGAAAAGAATCCTAGAATTCCCTGACATAAACTTATATGAAAAGACTCTTTTATTTCATGGTTGGTAATCCTGGAAAGGGTTGCAACTTTTAATATGGTATGTTCATAGGCCATTTCAATTCATTCCAATCATTATTACTTCTGCAGCAATGTAAAAGAATCTAGAAATCATATATAGTTTTTTCTTATTCACCCCTAGCTACTCAAAGGAGGTTTACTATAAATTCCTACTTTGCAAGCCTCTGGAAATAACAGAACAGTTGGATATTCGAATTATAAGCTTCTTTGGGCTATTGGCACATGAGAAGCAATAGTTTTCTGCCACCATTTTAAGGGTTGGTTGGTCCTGTTACATTTACAAAGTTTGAAAACAAAAGAACCCTAGGAAGCTCTATAACAATAATAAAACAGCTGTGATGATCTTAAAGTTTGATACAAATGATGTTCAACTAAGGCTTAATTCTATATTAGAGCTTGCTAAGAAGCTGATAAATGAAACAATTTCTCAGTGATGTCTCAATACTAAAATCTTAATTTTACATTCATTTAACTTTGTTTTTTCAGTAGCAAGTTATCCAGTTTCTTAGAATGATAAAATTTCCATTGTCCCAAAAACAGTAATAATGAATAAAGCTCTAAGCTAAGCAAATTTAAACATAACACCATAAAAACTATGAAATTCAACAATGGTTTACATAATCATCCCTTATATTCAATCAGTCATGAACAATGAAACTCTAATCAACATTGAAAATAATATATATATATATATTAGTCTTATATTGCTGCATCTTGCTGGTCCAAGTTGCTAACAAGCTAAATCATAACCAAATACATTATCATATACATATAATTTCGTTTTAAATTTTTAATAATCCAAAACTAACTAATATTTGATTTTGCATTCAAACCCCACTTTTTACTTGTTTTCATGGAAAACAAAAAAAAAAAAAAATTAAACAACCAACATGCAAAGGGTGGCTAAATTGAAAAGTAAAGCAACATTGGAGAGTAACAAATTAAGGGAAAAAAAAGAGTACCGAAGCAAGTAAGTGAGATTGATATCGGTGAAATTGACAATAATTATGAGGTTAGATTGTTGAGAAGCTTTGAAAATTTGAAACATAAAAACGAACTTGATTTGGGTCTTGAATGTTTGTTGGATAATGATCCTTTTTTTTTTTTTAATTCATCACATTCAATTTCAATGACTTCTAATTTTTCTCTTACTTATCTTTGTCTTTCTTTTATATTCTTTTGTTTCTTATTGATTCTTTTCATTTCTGCCTTGAGACTCACAAACTTTTTTTGCATGTTCTTCATTCCACCATTTTTTTTTTCCTAAGCAACATAAAAAATAATAATAAAATTGTTAAATCTTACCTCAAAACAATTGTATTTAAAAAAATAATAATAAATCAAAGATTAAGGAAGAAAAATCGATTACATTCTTCAAATGTGATTTGGAACGCTTGTTGTTGGGATGAAAACGACCACGTAAAAAGAAGGGAGCCATGGTATTGTTTACTCTCAAATTCGTTTGACCTAATTCTACTTTTAATTACTTTGAATAAAAGACTAAAAAAATTGATTTATTTATAATAAATTCATAAAAATAAATCGCGCGACTCACACTCAAATAACGCTGATTATGACAGCGAAATTGTGCTATCCTTAATTTTAATCTTTTAAATTTTTTTTTTTTGGTTTTAAGATTTTTTGTAGTTTTATTTTATTAAGTTTCCTTTTAAAGGAAAATTGATAAAGAATTCGCCCGAAGCACTAAATCCCTTTCTAACTCTCACAATTGTATCGTAACGTTTACGTTTTCTTTTGGTAAAATTTGTGGTTGATCCTTTAAGTTTTTGGTATTCCTACTTTAATACCACCAATTGCGATTGTGTTGGGGTTCATTTTTTTATTTTAAATTATAAATTACTTCAATATTTTTTAATAAAAGCTAGATATTTAGTTCATTGGATGGTTTTTATTTGAATTTTTTTCAATAAAAATAGAATAATTAGTTAATAACGTATCTACTTTTTTTCAATTTTTATAATTATATGAAATCAAATTTATATAATAAAACTTCTTAATTATTTTTTTATTTATTCAAAGTTCAAAAAAAAAATGTTTTTTGTTTCCTAATTTTTTATTAATATTTAATTTATTTAAGAAACTAAAAAGTTTTCTTTAATTTTGTAAATAATTTTATCTAAAATCTTGCCCATGTTCCAACTCCAGCTATCTAATTAGATCCATTGGTATTAAAATATTTAGTTTTTTATGAAAATTTTAATATTTTTAAATATATTTTAGAAGTAAAATCCAATAAAATATTTATTATTAATAAAATAATATTTCTAGTTAGGTTTGGGCTCGAAAATTCTTTTCAAAACTCAACTCAAATCGTACCCAATTCAAAGATATTGTTCGGAGGTGTTCATTGTTCAGGTTACCATGTAGAGTTGACGAAAGTGGTTTTGAGACCAAGATCCGGGCCCTTGAACAGGGCAGAAGTTGTTTTTTCCTCTTCATTTATTCATGTGCTATAAGTACCAATTTCAAAAGCCACGATCAATTATTTTTAATCAGTCTTCATGCATTTTTATCTTCAGTTTTCAGCATTTTACTTCCTTTTTTTTTTTTTTTTAACATTTTCAGGACAATTAATCTTCAGTATCAGGAGCCCCTTTGATCACCAAGTAAATCATAAAATCTCCAACAATCAATCCAACTAGATGCTCCTCCCTCTTTAATGAGCTATTTCATTAATTCCATCAACGTTTCATTTTCTATCATTTTATATACTCTATACATATAGGTTCAATGATTATAATGTTTTTCTCCAAATTATTTTGATCATTATGTCTTAAGGTACTTACGCAAGGGTAATATTATTTTGGATTATATAAAGATTTTGTTTTGATATGTCCGACTGTCAAATTTTGATCGGAAAAAACAACTCAACATTTTATCAACAAATTACATTATTATCAGGAGATTATATAAAGATTTTGTAATAAGAAAATTGGTTTTTCTTCAGTCGGCAGCCAAATCATTTTCATTTGAATCTGCTCTCAGCTGGAATTGGTAATTTTAGCTGCATACTGCTTCAACTGCAAGTTTCTTAGTGATACCAGGACACAAGCCCCTATCGAAGTTCTCTTCTGCTACTTCTATGGCACACTCATTTTTACCTAGGCAGACCTGTAGTTCAAAGCATATCAGGAAAAGAAAATTTATGTTAAGTTATGCACACTAATCATATTATTTATTAGGTTTGCAACAGTGGGTTAAGAGAGCATCCATGTTAAACATGAGTGACTTATTACCACTTTAGTGTTTTTCTACCCAAAATGTTTGTAAAAAAATGAAATCATATTCAATGTTTACTGTACATCTCCTAATTAATTATCAAAAACTATGGAAGCTTTACATATTTTATGGCTTTGGATGCATGCTATTTTATCTTACACTTGAATCAAGTATAAACACTTCCTACTTGTTTGGTGTTTGAATTTAACAAAATTGTGCTTCGTATTTATTGCGAAAACTTCAAATTGAGACATAACATAATCAATTTATAACCTTGACCTATGGGATTTGGGACATTATAAAAATAACAAAAATGGCATCCCAACATTATGCAAATGTGAAGCTTATGAATAAGGTTAAAAATTGAATATGCTATAACCTTATTTTAGTTGTGAACCTTGTTCAGTTCATAGTCAGCTGTGGTGATGCTATAACCTTAACCTGTGGAATTAGGTACATAACAAAAAATATGAGTGAAATTAAGGTAACCCTTACCTTTTCAACCACAAATGTTGAATTAGGATCATGGCAGTTCCCCTTGCTGTAAGACCCACATCTTCCAGTCGGATTTCCAAAGCTAGCGAATTTCACATTAGAAATTGAAGTATTTTGGGGGCACTTAAGATGGACAGTCGGTCTGGTTTTGCCATTTCCACTTCCATCTTTTTGTACTGAATCCTGGTCGATCATAGGGTAGTCCTCAGCAATGAGAGAACACAGACCTGATGTTTTGCGTTTTGAGAATGTAATTTTTGTTGGATCTCCACCCTTCTCCTCGAAAATCACCAAAATGTTTCCAGATGGCTTGAACCAATAACGTGGAACATGGTACCTGATCCATAAGAAAAACACAGTTTTTAATAACTCCTCCAATATTGGAAAAAGGTGGAGAATGATAAGGAGGATTTGAAGAACTATTTCAAGAAAGTAACTAATTCAAAGTAAAAAGAAATACTGATGAAATAGCAATATAGAGTGAAAAATATGTGACAACTTCACAATTTTAAATTTTCTCAATTTTAATCTAGCTTTACTTCAATAATAAGAAAAAACCATGATAACATCATAAGTTAAGTTAACCAATTAATGCCCACAAACACATGTAAAGTACCTTTAATATTTTAACTTATGCAGCACCCACATGTACACCAAAACATATTTTTTTGAGTTGATAAAATGGAGTAGAAAAAATAAAAGAAACCATTTGACTAAGTATGCACAACATAATTTGGATGGCGAAGAGAGAAGAAAAATAGTCTTTTGAGCTAACTCAGTTAAAAGCAACCAGTTGATAAGAGACCAACTCAATCAGCTGCAAAATAAAATTAGTATAAGTTGAATACTAGATAAAGTTTTAAGTATCTCAAGAATAAATGCTATTTTTGTTTTCTTGTAGGGTTAAATGTTCAACATCTGACAACCAAAAGCCTACTCAAGTGTTCAACTCAAGGCTACCAAAAACCAAAATTCAATAATATGAAGAGAAAATAGGTGGAAAAAGATAGTCTCATACAACTGCAGTACAAGATGTACAATTCCAACTCAAAAAGGCATTTAAGCTATTCAAAAAATTTTGCATTCATGAGTGTTCACATCTGACAACCAAAAGCCTACTCAAGTTTTCTTAAAGATTTTGCAAAAAATAGCTTGTGACACATAAATTAATTACTAGATAAAGCTAAAATGTGCGTAACTTTTAATTTACTGAAAACTTAGAATTGAGTTTTATGTGGGAAAAGGCCTAAGAAGCTGAACATAGAGATCTAAGTTGGAGATGCAGAATATGACAACATGAAAGATGGGCAACCAAGCAATTTTTTCTCATAATTGTTTTACATGCTTGATGAAGAAGTGTATTTCTTAAACTTGGAAACCTGAAAGATTTGGTAAACATTCCTGCTTGTCTATATAATGTTTTTGGTATATTAACCCCATGCATCCTTTTGCAAGTATTTTTTCAATAATAAATTGCATGGTCAAGGAAATTATATTACTAACACCCATTTTTGCATTTACTATGAAGTCTGAATTCTTGAGAAACAGTGTTTTAATTATCTTCTGATTTTGCTTACCATCTTTGTGTTGGTTCTCCACAACCAGTAAGGCATTTATCTGGGAAGAATTTTCCTCTGTAATCACATTCCTGTATGCACTTCTCATGTTTAGAACTTTTTATCGGCCAGTATCTTCCAATCTCTTCTCCATTTAACCAGGCTTGACCTTTTCCCATATGAATCATATCTAGGCCAACCGGTTCATCCCCTGATGGTGGATCCAAAACAACCTGCCATAGCTTAAGTACTTAAATCCTTTTTTTTTTTTCAAATTTTGAACATTGGTAGATTAAGTGATAAAACATTTGCCTCCAATAAATATTTATCCTGAATTAAATTTGAACAGGAAATAAGGGTCTTTTCTGAATCTATACCTTGTACCATGTCAGAGGCTGATTTTTTGGCGGTTCTGAGGTTGATACCCAATTTACACCATTCAAGCTGTCTGGCTTGTATATACCCAAGTGTTCTCCTTGCAATCCAATCTGCATACAGCATAACAAAGACAGAGATAAGGCTTTCAGAATTTTAAAGGCTATAACCATTTGTGAACATTTCACTCTTCAGCTATTAAATATATTATAGCTCTTCAAAGGCTTTGGAAGATGATAATTGACTTGGAAAAAGTGATGCTTCCTTCTGAAAACAAATTCTTGATACTTATGGCTACATCAACCTCAGCCTTCCATTGTTTTGAATGTGATGCAGAGAATCCAAGAAGAAAACCAAGGGTAAGAGGGCTCAATTAACAAGTGAACCCTTCTTTATATTAAATCTTAAGCAGAATTTGTTTGTCTTTTTATTTCTTCTTTTACATCTTAGTTCTCAGTTGTTAAAAAGCCACACAACTATATGTTATTTTTGACTAGCTAGGACTGCCCATCTTGATTGAATTAGATTCCTAAAGCATCTAATACTATGATTGTAAAGCTACTTTGCCCTAGAGTAAACAGTCTTTCTAGGTTTTAAAGTGGATACTGTAGCAATTTTTTATCTTATTTAAAAATTATTGAATATAGTAATCCAGAACTCCAGATCTGTTTTGTTTGATATTTTTCTTCAATTTCTAGCTTCTAGACTCTGAGGTGTCGTTTCTTCCTTAGCACAAGATTATCATATCTGAACTTATAAAAATGACTATCATCAACAAACAAATCATACATAAATTATTTTGGAATAAAATCTTAAAAAAATAGAAGTTTCAGTTTGGTCCTAAACTTAAGGTGTCCCTTTTCTTCAATGCAATTCTGATGATGATGTTGCCATTGAAAACTTCTCAAGTATTACAAGACTACATTTATGCAGGAAAGTCATGAAATATTTCAAGCTCAGTAAGGAACGAATTGAAGAAACTTCTGATGGAGGACATCCTTGCAAGTTTTGGAAGTATATATATTCAAAGCTTAAATTTAGAGAATAGGATTTTAGATATTTTGTGAGCTTGTTTGTCTTGTTTATTTTACCGGACCTTTTTTGGTATTTAGTCTGGCCTTATTAAGTGGCTTAAAACCAAGGTTAATGAAGCTCATACGTATTGGTTTGTTAAACTTGAAATTCAGGTTTTGGCTATTGACATTTTGAAATGAGATTTAAGTTTCTGCAATTGAGATTTTTAGACTATTATTGAGTGTAATTATTCTAGAATTTTTGTTCTACATTAACTTCTTAATAGCTGAAAGAAACTAATCACAAAAAACAGGAAAGTAGAATTCATTATGGATTTTGTGTTTTCTCATCAGAAAATGGTAGACTTCATCTTAAAGTCAATATTCACTAGAACAATTAGATGCAGGGTACATGACAGTTTCACTTTTTCTTCATTCTTCAAACGGCATGATTAAGGTAAAGCCAATAAGGCAAAGAAAGTGATTTAGGGTGGTAATTAAAATTGCAAAAACTTCAAGGGTCTTTCTGACTGTTATCCCCATATATTTCAATCCAACTTACAATTTAGCTCCATCATGAATTTGACAATCAAATAAAGCCAGATATGAGAGAAATTATTATGGCCCTAACTCAATAAAGAAAAATACCTTGTAGGTCCAGTTAGACATAGACAAATCTATTGTTCCATTATTGAGCCCCTTGATCTTGACACTTGTTAGTCCTGCTCCTACCCATTCATATAATCCTCCTGCATTCTGAAATAAGGAAGAGCATATCAGTCAGACTCTCAAAAACATATCATCAGAGAGTAAAACGCACAAAGTTCTAGAATAGCACAAAGATGCAGGACTAACAAAAGCCCCAATGACTCCATTATAAGGAGAATCAAGAAATTTCACTATGGTTGGAGAAGATTCAAAGGTGCAAAACGATAAGCTCAAAACATCATAGATGAATGGACACTCACTAAGCAGTGTTAGGTCACACTGCCTCTAGAATAGCTCTTTCCCACCAATACATCTCTCAAAAGCCCCAATGACTGCGTTATGTATCCAGTTTATGATCCACAGATACTGCAGACACTAGGATAGGACCCAATCACAGTTAACATGGTCCACAATTAGCCACAACTACAAAGAATTCAGATAAAAGAAAAACAAATCCAGAAAACATCATAGAATGTATATGAGCTCCACAGATAGTTTCATAATTTAAGTATAACTTAAGAATTCTTTACTCTTGTTTATAAGCAAGAAACAAGATGATAAATCTCTAAACAATTATGTTCTTCAAAACATGTTTGACATTAATTATAGCTTGATATTTAAAGACAATCTTGAGACTTTCACAGATTACTTGTCTTATCAGCTGGTCCTGATCAAACAGATTCATATAGAAGGCAAGCTGTTTAAAATATGGAGGGATCACCCTTATGTAACGGTAAGGAGCCAGGCCAAAAGCAGATAAATTTGAAATAGATAATCTCCTAAGGTTCTTAACACCCTATAGTTTTTTGGTACATATGAGGAATTCAAGGGGGGACAGGGTTTTGGAACCTTGGACCTTGTCTCTCTAAAACAGAAGTAACAACTGCTAGGCCAACCCTTGCCTGTTAAACACCCTATGCATTTTAGTCTAAGGAGAAATGTCCAAGGAAAAATCGCTAATGAAAAGGGGAAAAACATAAGTGGACAAAAATATCTTCTTAGATTAGCCAATAATCAGCTACGACTGTTAGGGTATCAGCCCTGAATGAATATTCCATGTTACTAAAAAATAGTTGAAAAGATGGAAGAAACAGGAATGCCAAGAATGTCTAGGATAATGTTAAAAATTAATCCAAATGATTCTAAAATTTTAAAGCAGTAGGATAATGTTAACAAAGCTTGTCTTCTGAGTGAAAACCAACATCACTGCAAATGCAATGAAACTGAAAACAAATGTTTTAATCCTTAAACAAACATGCAAGCAAGAATGTATATTACATATACAAGTAAAGAAGAATTAACTAACTTGTAGGCCCACGGTCATGCTCAACAGTGCAATTTCATTCTTCCCTGCCTTGAGAGAAATTGGATTCTCAAATTTGAATTGTGAATGTGAGCCATTTCCAGAAGCACTACCTGTAAAATGACATCAAAAATTTTGAAATATATGACAAGTATCTCCACATGATAGATGCATAGAAAACTTGAGGAAATGCAATAACTATCAAACTATAATTTGCAAAATAAATCACTCAACTATACTCAATAACTAAAAAGAGTATAACGTGTGTGTGAGTGCGAATACATATATATATATATATGAATTTATAGAAACCACTTTAAAAGCATTAGCAAAAAATGGAACTTAGGTACTTATATACCTTATGCAGCTATTGGCTTAGCCCTTAACAATCAGTTAGGCTTTAAAGATACATTCTTTCAACATTCAATAACAATTAAAGAAATGAAAAAGTCAATCAGTTCAAATACATCTTATTGATTGTGAAATTTCCATGTAGAACCTGGAGCCCTAATTAATGCTGCAGAAACTACATCATCGCTAATGGGACACACTTACAACTTGGGCAACAAACTCCAAAGATGAGAGGAACTTAAAGAGGGGGAAGCCCCGTTTATATTCTGGAAAAGAAACGAATTGAATGTACCCTTTGTTCTGTCAAGGGATATGAAGGGAGTTGCACATGGAAGATTGGGTTTCCATTGAAGAGAGAGGTTTTTCTGTTCTTTGGTCTGTTATGGAAGATGAAAAGAGGGACTCGATTTTAGGTTTTTTATTGTTGTAATTTTAAGTTTTTTCTTTTTTGTAATATTGTTATCAGAAATTTTAGAATTAATTTTAATTTAAGTTTTTAACTTTTAATTTAAAATAAATTTAAATTTTATTAAAACAAAATAAAAATTAAAACATTAAGGGAAAAAAGGCTAGGCTGATTAAGATTAACGGGTTGATTAATTCCTTTTACAGTCAAGGGGTAAAGTGGCATTTTCAAACAAGAGGGGGTTTGTTGTTGTTTCTTATTTTATCTAGGGGGATTTGTGTATTTCACCCAAAAAACCCATAACCTCTAAAGGCTGGAAACCATATGTTATCTGAAGCTATTTATTGCAGTTGAAGTTTCCTTTGTCAATTAGTCACCAAAAGAAAACTTAGTCTTAAAATAGAGAAGATAAATAAACCTTAAGCCCAATTTAAGATGTCTCCTATCATGTTATTCTCACACAGAAGTAGGCCCCAACTTCCAACTTGATTGGAAGCTATGAGATTATTCATGTCACTCAACCATGTCTAAGCAAAATTTATCCATCAATTCCGGAGCCTTCAGTCAAGGAAGATGCAAACTACAAAGACATAGAAAGGTACTCCTAAGGAAACACAACGATTGAGGGACTTGAAAACAAAACTAAGGTATATACTGTGACACCCCCAAACCAACATTTGGATTGTGAGGATCCACCATGACATATATGTAGAGACTTGTATCTATACTTGTGAGGCTTCTTTTATGACTGTGAGACCTTTGGGTCAAAGCACACAATCCTAAAAAGGTGCCTCAGATGGCTTGATTGATAAATTGAAAGCTTGTTTGGTTACTAAGGGTTATACTCAAGTGTATGGAGTTGATTATTCTGACACATTTTCACTTGTTTCGAAGCTAACCTCTGTTCTTTTGTTCGTATCATTGGCAGCTACTTTTAATTTGCCTTTATTTCAGTTGGACATTAAAAATGCCTTTTTGCATGGTGACCTTGAGGAGGAAGTTTATAAGGAGCAAACACCTGAATTCGTAGCCCAGGGAGAGTTAAGAGTTAATATGTCAATTGAAGAAGTCTTTGTATGGCTTAAAACAATCTCCTAGGGCTTTTGTCAGGTTCAGTGAAGTTATTGAATTTGGTCTTACAAGGTGTAGAAAAGTCCATTCTGTCTTCTATCAGCAAGCAAAAATAGGTAAAATTTTATTGATTGTCTATGTGGATGATATAGTAATTACTGGTTATGTTAGCTAAGGGATATGAGCATTGAAATCATATCTTCAAACTAAATTTCAGACAAAGGATTTAGGGGATTTGCAATATGTCTTACATGTAGAAGTTGCTAGATCTTGTGAGGGGATAGCACTATCCCAAAGGAAGTATGTGCTTGACTTCCTTTCTGAAACTGGTTTGTTAGGATGCAAACCTATTGATACTCCTGTGGATCCTAACACCAAATTATTAGCTAACCAAGGTAATGTGTTAATTGATCCGAGCTGTTATCGAAGATTGGTTGGGAAGTTGAACTACTTGACAATCACTAGATCAAATATTTCTTTTGTAGAGTGTTGTTAGTCAATTTTTAGAGTCTCCAAGAATGAATCATTGGGATGCTATTGTTCATTTCTTAAGATATCTCAAGGGTGTTTCAGGTCATGGCCTACTTTATAAAAACCATGGCATCTTAATGTTGAAGGTTACACTGATGCAGACTAGGCTAGATCTCTGAATGATAGGAAATCTACCACTGGTTATTATGCGTTTGTTGGAGGTAACTTGGTGTCTTGGAAGAGTAACAAACAGACAGTGGTTGAAAGACCAATCCTGAATCTGAGTGTGGCGCCACGGCAAATACTACTCGTGAAGTGGTTTTTGAAACATCTAACGAAAGAACTTGGACATAAACAAGAAGAGACTACAACGCTAATTTGAGACAATCAAGCAGCTCTTCATATAGCCTCAAAACCAATGTTTCAATGTTTCATGAAAGCTCTAAACACATTGAGGTGGATTCTAGTTAGCAACAAACTTATGTGGAATGTGATTCTTATGCATTCAATAAGATCTATGGACCAACTAGTAGATTTGTTTAAAAAATCTTTACCCGGTTCTAGAGTAAGATATATTTGCAACAAGATGGGTACATATGACATATATGCTCCAGCTTGAGGGGGAGTAGTAAGCATTTAGGTTAAAGGGTATATTAGTCATGTACACTACTTAATGTTCTGATGTAAACACATGGAGACTACCATATTGGTAGACTCTCTACTTTTCCCCAATAACATATAGCATAGGGGATCATCAACCAATTCACAAATTGGGATTGGGGGTGTCACAACTACTAGGTCCTATAAGTGTTCATTCTGTTTTGCTTCAGCTTCAGCCATGAATTCTGCTTCCAACAGTCTGACTTGCTCACTGAATTAGGAGAGGCAATTCTCAAATATTAATAAAGTTTATATAAATTAAATTGTCTAACTTAACAAAGAGAATAGAGAAGTGCAAAATTTCACTGTCAGGGTGATCACACTGTCACGATGAACTAGCCTAGAGAAAATATAAACATAAAGAGAAGTGATGGTATATAAGATGAAAATCACATATTGACATGCCTATCAATAATCTATGCATGCTGTATATAAGATATTAGCTCAAAATTAGAAACATAAAGGTCAAAAGGAAATTTGGAAAACCAAGAATAACCTTCAAGTTCCTGATTAACAAAAGCATGAAGAGCATGACCCTTTGACTCAATAAGAAGGACTGGATGGCTTCCCTTCCGAAGAAATTCTTCATTTTCACCAACAATTATACTGCAATTCAAGGATACTAATACTATTAGCTGGCGAGGTTATCTTAGAATATCATAGAACCTAGATAATACTAATTAAAGTTATATCCACTCCATAGCCAGGTTGAGTTAGAATCATGTTAGCATATCAGAGATGGGTACAATGAGACAAACTCAATATCTTAAATACAAACTTACTTTGAAATAATGTTTCTATATTATAGATAAGAAACTTTAGGAGAAAGGTTTTGAAGGTTTTTATATTATAGATAAGAAACTCAATATCAGAAACTTTGTTTTATCAAATGGAAGAAGGTTTTGAAGTTCATGAAATAAGATACTTCGGCAACAAGATTTTAATTAGGAAAAAGATTTATACAATTTTTTTAGGCAAATTAGCATAGAACTAATATCCCATACGCATCAGAAATTTGGACTCAGAGATAACAGCACAACTTTAAACATAGCAATGATAAAGAAAAACAAGCATACTATAACAATTTGGGTCTATTATAACTAAAAGCTCAGAAGACCCAGAGCTCCTAATTTGCACTCCGGTTTTATTGATCTTCGTTGAGTATCAGCATGATTCCTTAAAAAAAAAGCAGTATCTTCTGGGCAACTATAACCTCTATACATCGTAGAAACATCGAACAACTATCAAGCATAATATAAGATGAAAATCAGGTACAGGATAAAATGAGTAAATTCATAAATTCAATAAAGACCAAAGTTTCATATCATTAGTCCAGAGATGGTGCAACAAACATGAGATGCTTGTACTTTGCTAAAATGAATGCCTTTATGAGCCTATTAGTCAATCCTTTATTCATCCAAATCATAATAAACTCAGGAAGACAAAAATCTATAACCAGTTGCATATAGTTCTCCAAAGAAATACAAACCTTGTTGTATACCAGAGGTAGTCGGTAGTATCTTTAGTGGTATTTATATGATCCACAAAACCATTTTTAATGAAGTCAGCTTCTCCCCAGATTCCAGCATTCTCCACAAATATATCCCATTTAAGAGCTTTCAAGCCTTTGCTTGGTGATGCCACTGATGGTTGGAACTCGTCAGGTACCATTTCAACTACAGAGGCCTGGGAACCTACCTGTTGACATTATGCAATGGATGAATTGTTCTGAAATTAACATATGGAAATGAAAAAAAGATGGAAATTTACCTTCGCCGTGTTAAATACAACATTCTTACAGTCAGGCAGTATGCTGACTGACCATGCAGGCAGGTGGTATGACACATTCCGAAACACGACATCCTTGTCAGTTTTATCATCCATGTTAGCAAGAAAGGCAGAACATACTCCAGAACCATCATCATAAACATCGGCCTGCAATGAAGTGGTTATTCAGCAAATGATGGACAATCATAAGAATAAAGTAATTGAGTCATTAATACATAAAGTATGTTTTAACTATCCTCAAAAATGCCACATTTTACAATAACATGGAAATAATAACTGAAGGAGGAAATAAGAATAACATGGAAATAATAACTGAAGTAGGAAATAAGTGACTCAAATAAACATCTATGTGAATATCTTAACTACAGCACAGCATTAATGATTTGAGACATTCTAGTGCAGAAAATTCTTTTGCTACCTGTCACAATATAATCAAATTTTCTGCTCTTGTCCTGAAAATGATTTAAATATTTGATATTCTTATTGAGTAGCTACATAGTCCTGATTAATTTGGCTAATTAAGAATGTGAATTACAAGATTAGTATTTTTGGTGATAAAGTACTTTTTGACCTAGTTATTAGTATCAAAAAAATTTGTGAAAACAAATTCTTGTATTAGAGATTCTAAATGTGGAAATCTAATCTTTATTATTACTTGATTAGTTGACTTTATCTATTTTAGTTAAGTCTCTTAATTTTAGGATTTTGGTCCTTGTATAGCAAGGGCTGAATTTTCTATCTCTTGTGGATTGCATGATGTCCCCGGCATCACTTTACTCAAAGAAAACTTCTTAGATACTAGGTAATGGCTTGATGCTAAGAATTCTCCCACGAACATCATCAAGACTCTTGTTTAGATCAAGTAGAAACTTATAAACTCGGTCCTTCTCCACTATTTTCCTATATTGTTGGCTATCATCAAGGCACTGCCATGCTATTTCTTCAAAGATATCTAATTACTACCAATAACAAGTTAAGGAATTAAAATATTCCTGATAGAAGAGTCTCCTTGCCGCAGGTTATGTAGAGTGCTTTTGATCTCAAAAATTGCAAACATATTGTCTACATTTGAACAGGTTTCTTTCGCAGCATCCCAAATCTCCTTGGTAGTTTTGTAGTACATGAAATTCTTACTAATCTCATTAGTCATAGAATTGATTGACCATGACATTACCATGCTATTCTCCAACTTCTAGATTCGATACTTCGAATCATTCTCGTTGGGTGAAACAACCATTCCCGTAAGATAATCTTCCTTACCTTTTCCACAGACAAAAAGCATCACTGATTAAGACCATTGGATGAAGTTTTGTACATTGAGTTTGTGACCAGTGATAGGCAAAATAAAGGGCTCGGACACATGTGCTACTGGCCATGGCGTAGATAAAAAGATAGAAAGAAAAAAAATATATATATATATATATATATAGGTTTTAATGGTTTAGGATAAATGCTCTAATACCATGAAGAAATTCATGAGAATTTTTATTTATGAATTCTTAAGAAACTTTCTAGAGTACAAGAATATATATATAGCTAAAATATCAAATCTGGTAAATCCGATGATATCCTAAAGATAATAACAAATCACCTAAAAATCCTCTAACAATAAATGGAAACTACCAAGTAGGAATTTGATCAATGAACTGAATCTCTTTTATTTAGGAAACAACCAAAATACTAAATTACTGACACCTAATCAAATCTGGTTAGCAATCGGTTTTCCACATAATTTATATCAAAATAACGAATTATTTCATGAAAATGATACTAAAAGAAGAGAAAAGAATAATAGTAAAAAATTTTGGGTTACAACATGTTGGATGTGGTGGTAAATCATGCATTCCCTTAAGTGATGAGGAAATAAAGGAATTAGTTATATAAAAAAAAATTACAAAACAGGTGATTGCTGATGCTAGGGAAACTAACTAAAATGTTAAATATATAAACTGATACAATTTAGAGAGCTGAATAATTTTCTAGTAGGTACTTATGTGGTAGCTTAAGCAGCTTTCTTAAGCCAAAAATGAATTTCAAAAGACATTTCAAATTGGAACATGAAAAGAAGCATGAAAAGGAACATGAGAGTACAAGGTGACAACTGAGTTTAAAATAATTTTAGGGCTAATTGTTTTAATGCATAAAAGAAAGTTTAATGAATAAAAGCAACAAAGAATTTACATCAATGCATTGAACAAAATTTGGTCTATTAATTCTTTCAAAAAAATTGATCTGTTAACTAAAACCAACCAAAATAGAAAAATATGACATCTAAAGTTATGTGGATAAAAATTGCAAAGGGGGAAAGCTTACCTCTTGGGAAGGACCCAGTGACAAAGTAGTTGGTTCACTCTTTAGCAATGCATGCTTACATAACTTTATAGCACTATGGAGATCCTTTAGGTGTCCCCATTTTGGAAGCCTTGGTAATCCTAAAAGACATGAGAATCCACCAAATATCTAAATACTCTCCCTGAGAATACACTTACTGACAGATATCATCATAATAGCTTACCATATTCATCAATAGGAGCTTCATAATCATAACTTGTTGTAATGAAAGGCCCACCTGATGTTCGGCCAAAATTTGTTCCACCATGATACTAAATCACAGAAAAAATGGTAAGATAATGCTAAGGGATAAAAATGACCAAATAAACACATTAACAAATAAGTTAACTACAGTTGTTCAAAAAGATTTGAGACAATAAGATTGATTAGCACACCATGTAGTAATTTTGTACACTTCCACCTTTCTGAAAAAAACGAGCAACAGAAAAAGCAACATCTTCAGGTGGCCTGTGAGGATCTCTTGCCCCAAATGTTTTAAACCTGGAAAAGCAAAATACAGATTGCAGCAAAACTGAATAGAAACCATATGATCATAAAGCTTCCTAAATATAAAGTGATTCTACAGTCTTTTGAGATGTTCCAGAAAATACTTAATTGCAAGGTAAGAGAATGTGAATATTTCTGCTTCAGATTAAAATAAAAATGGTAAAAAATAAAATGTTGAATTAGTTGGTCAACTCCAAGAGCAAGCATGTATACTGGATTATACTTCTTTTGACCAGGATGAATAAATTAAATCTCACAATAAAATCAACTTCTTCTTCTTCTTCTTCTTCTTCTTCTTTTTAATTTTTCTTTTTAATGAAGAATGCAGGTCTATATAGAACTATTCTTTTCCTGGTTATTTATAGAAAAATAAAAGGGAAAAATCCCTAAAGAAAAAGGAATTTTGAATTGTGAAGGAAACACTGGTAAATATAAAGCACATGTTACTAATACATAATTATTTTGGTTACCAAATGTTCCTATTTTTCTGGAACTCTTTATGTTTCTTATTTAATAATATATATCATCAGAAAACACAAAAGACCATTTTACATGCAAGGTTACCATACACATATCCAAACTTGTATTTACACAATTGAAACAAAAGGTAAACTAGAACATTACCATCCAGGCCAATTCTCAGTCCAAATTTTGGGCTTGTTTGGAGAATTAGGTGTGAATTGATCACAGTAAAAGGAATTACAGGTATTAATCTGCAAAATAGAAGAAGCACAGAAGTCTACGGTTTAAGCTGATTGCTAAATAGTTCAATTTTTTATTATGTAAATAAATAAAAGCAATGTGCTCCAAAATCTCTTTTTATTTCAAACAGCCATGACCAAATTTCATTTTTTTTAAAAATGAAAAGCCTTAAGCAAGATGCATAAAGTTGTTATAATAGTCAATATACATGTCCAACATAGAATTTTACAGTGAATTTTAACAATCCAGAAATCAACCCACACCTAACCCTAGCTTAGCTGCTACTCATTAGTAAGCAGGCATATAATACATGCTTTGAGATGTGCATGTGCATAGAGATGCAGTAACTATTATATAAAGCATGGATCCTATTAATCTTTATCAGCTTGCTAAAACATTTTTCTCCATGCCAACTGTTTCAAGGCAAATAGCCGATGAAAGCTCATAGGCCCAGAAAATTGTACACCTACAAATATCTTTGATTCCTAAAGTATTGACTGATCTGAGTTGGGGGAGGGTTTATATTTTTAATATCTTTGGATGCTCTACTGTTGTACATGAGTTCTTTTCATGAAAACAATTTTTAACATTGTAATAAGCATACACATAGGGAATAAAAAAATGAAAGAAGCAAATGTCTACTGGAGAATAAAGAACAGTTTAAGGTTTCTTTTGTTTTTTAAGAAACTATGAGAACTCAAGATTATGAGATACTCCAAATTAGTTGATTTTGGTATCTTGACCTTGTTTATTCAAAAGATTTATAAAACTGATAGAATTGTCAACCATAAAATCCAAGCAAATTAGATGAAATGGAGACATACAACTGGTTTCATGGATGGGCACAAAATACAACTTAAGTTGAAAGGGAAATTTTTCAAAACATGAATAGGCCCAGCAACATATCACGGCACTCAATGATTAGCCAACTAAGTATCTACATGTGAAAATATAATCTTCATTATTACTTGATCAGTTGACTTTATCTATTTTAGTTAAGTCTCTTATTTTTCGAATAAGAAGTGATTTGGGTAATCACACTAAATCCATTAGATATTTTTCTTATTATGCGCAGAAAGTAAATTTCTCCTTTGATCAGCTGTTTTAATGCATGAAAACCTTGGGTTTTAAGACTGAGATTATTCAGGTTTTAGCCTATATATTTTCATGCAATTCTAATATTGTAATAAGAAAAATATAGAAGAATAAAATAGTTTTAATCTAGAGAGTTCTTCATGGTATCAGAGCATGATCTGAACCTTTGAAATTTTTCACTCGGAGTCTAACATGGCCAGCGGAAAGAAGAGCTCAGCGTCAGAGGTTACCTCTAACCCCAGAGCTAGTGTTATTTGAATAAGTTCTTTAGCATAAAAAAATAATTTTCTAAGTGCCTTGAGTGTAAAACTAGAGAAATCAAGTTTATGGATTATGGATTCAGGAGTTTCAGACCATATGAGTAGGGATGCATTTGTATTCAGTAAATACAACACATGTCATGAAAACATCACAGTTCGAATTGCTGATGGGTCACTTTCAAAAGTGGCCAGTACAAGTATTGTTCCTATTTACAAAGAGATAACACTTGATTTTGTTCTATTTGTCCCAAATCTAAGTTGCAATCTATTGTCTAAAAGCAAACTTACAAGAGACCTTAAGCGTGTTACTAAATTTCTTCCAAACATGTGTGAATTTCAAGATTTGGACTCCAGTAAGATGATTTGGTAATGCTAAAATGATTCTGAAAGACAATATCAGAAGACCTTTTTTGTGGCTTCACCCTCCAATAATAATAAAGATAGTACTATCATGTTGTGGCACTATCGGTTAGGTCATCCAAACTTTTTATACCTCAAAAGATTGTTTCCCTCATAATTCAACAAAAATCCTAACAACATTCAATGTGAAGTCTACCAACTATCCAAACATACCCGTACCACATATCCTAATCAGCCTTACAAATCATCCCATCCTTTTTCAATGATACATAGTGACATTTGGGGTCCCTCCAGAGTAAATAACATTATTGGTTCAAGATAGTTTGTCACATTTATTGATGATCACACCAAGGTTACGTGGGTATTCCTTATGAAGGGAAAATCAAAAGTGAGCCAGCTATTCCAAAACTTCAACAATATCATCCAAACTCAATTCAAAACCAAAATCCAAGTGTTGAGAATCGACAATGGGATAGAATACTACAATTCAATCCTTGGATCATATCTAATAAAGCATGGTATAATTCATCAAAGCTCATGTGTCGATACTCTTCAGCAAAATGGTGTTGCTGAAAGAAAGAATTGACATTTGTTGAAAGTTGCAAGATCCCACATGATGGCTGCCCATGTACCTAAGCATTTTTGAAGTAAGGCTGTTCTTACCGCTACATATCTTGTAAACAAAATGCCTTCTCAAGTCCTGAAATTTCAAAGCCCTCGCCAATCCTTCTCGGTTCCTATCCTCACCTTCGAATCATCTTGTCTATTCCAATTAAAGTGTTTAGATGCACTGCATTTGTTCTTACCAACCAACAAACCCAAAGCAAATTAGATCTCAAATCCATCAAATGCATATTTCTAGGATATTCCCTGAATCAAAAAGGATACAAGTGTTACTCACCAGTAACAAAGAAATTCTACCATTCCATGAATGTTACCTTTTTTGAAAATCAATCTTACTTTCCCAAAACTGCCATTCAAGGGGAGAATCAAATCACACAAGAATATTAGCTTTGGGAAGATTCTATTACCAAACCACCAAACACTTCTCCAACTACCTTTCAAGTCCAAAACATCCAACCAGATCCTTCAAGCCCGAAGTCCACACAAAGGAAAACAAACAAAGAATTGATTGTCTATTCCAAAAGACATAAAACTTAGAAGGATCTAGGAGAATGTATACCTTCAAAGCAAAGCCAAAAATCTAAACCAATTCCAAAGATGCTTGAAACCAACACAGGTAACACTTTTACTGAATCTGACTTAATTGAATCTTTTGATGATCTTGATCAACCAATTGCTCTAAAGAAAGGTGTGAGATCACGTACTCAACACCCAATCTGTAATGTGGTTTCTTATGAAGGTTTATCACGCAGTTATTGGGCTTTTATTAGCACACTAAACAATATGCAGATTCCCAATAATATTCATGAAGCACTCATGCAACCAAAATGGAAGATGGCTATTTTGGAAGAAATCGGGGCCTTAGAAAAGAACAAAACATGAGAGATTTCAGAATTACCTAAAGGGAAAAATCCAATTGGATGCTAATGGATTTTTACCATCAAGCACAATGCAAATGGAAGTATTAACAAATTCAAAGCTCACCTTATTGCAAAAGGATTTACTCAATCTCATGGTGTTGACTATGAGGAGACATTTGCTCCGGTTGCCAAACTTAATTTGATCCAGGTGTTATTATCGCTGGCAGCAAATCTAGATTGGCCATTCCAACTAGATGTCAAAAATGCATTTCTTGATGACGACCTAAAAGAATAAGTTTACATGGAAATCCCCCCAGGATTAAAAAACCAACACAATTCTGGCAAGGTATGTAAACTGCAAAAGTCATTATATGGTCTCAAACAATCCCCACATGCATGGTTTGATAGACTAACAAAAGTGGTAAAGAAGTATGGTTTTTCACAATGCCAAACCGATCACACCATGTTTGTCAAATATTCACTTAAAGGAAAAATAACCATTCTTATTGTCTATGTGGATGACATTATTCTTACTCAAGACTATGTGAAAAAAATTAGCAACATTAAGAACCTCCTAGCCAAAGAATTTGAAATCAAAGATTTGGGACACCTTAAATATTTTCTTGGCATGAAGGTAACTCGCTCAAGGAATGGCATCTCTGTTTCACACTGTAAGTATGTCCTAGATTTACTAAAGGACACTAGAATACTTGGATGCAAACCTGCTGACACCCCTATGGACACAATGAATAAGGTAGGAACGGAAGAAGGAAGTCCACCAACTAATAAGGGCAGATATCAAAGACTTGTTGGGAAACTCATTTACCTTTCTCATACAAGAGCAGATATCAGTTTTTCGGTTAGCATGATAAGCAAATTCATGAACAACCCAACCAAGGAACACTTAAAGGCTGTGTATCAAATCTTACAGTACCTAAAGAAGAGTCATAGTAAAGGTTATTTTTTAAGAAGACATCATGCCAAAATATTGAAATTTACACTGATGCTGATTGGGCTGGATCTATTACTGATCGGAGATCAACTACTGGTTATTGTACCTATGTGTGGGGAAATTTGGTTACTTGGTGAAGCAAGAAGCAATCTGTGGTGGCTAGAAGTAGCGCGGAAGCTAAGTTTAGAGCTATGTCTCATGGAAAATGTAAGAAAATTTGACTAAAAAGGTTGCTAGGGGAGTTAAAGGTCTCTACAAAAGAATCCATGAAGATATTCTGTGAAAACAAAGCTGCCATAAGTATAGCAAAGAATCCCATTCATCATGATAGGATTAAACATGTAGAGATTGATCTTCACTTCATCAAAGACAAGATAGAGGAAGGAATTGTTACATTAGTTTATACTCCCACATGCCTTCAAACTGCAGACAAACTTACTAAAGCTTTCTCTCGAAACAACTTCGAGAATCTGAAGTCCAAGCTGGGCATGATTGACATCTACCACCTAGCTTTAGGGGGAGTATGGAAATCTAATCTTTATTATTACTTGATTAGTTGACTTTATCTATTTTAGTTAAGTTTCTTACCTTTAGAATAAGGAGTGATTTGGGTAATTACACCAAATCCAATAGATATTTTCCTTATTATGTGTAGAGAGTAAATTTCTCCTTTGATTAGCTGTTTTAATGCATGAAAATCTTGGGTTTTAGGGCTAAGAATATTCAATCTTTAGCTTATATATTTTCATGCAATTCTAGTATTGTAATAAGAAATAGAAGAATAAAATAGTTTTATTCTAGAGATTTCTTCACTACATGTACAGAGAACAAGCATAGCTAAGATGAGATTGAAAGATAGATGTATCTTCCTACAAGAGAACATAAACTTAAAAGGAGTACATCCAGGAAAAGAGAGATGCAATGCCAATTGAAGGCAAAATGAGAGACATTTAAGGCATTTAGGACCTTTCACTAATGCTCTTATAAGAATATTAACTTACTAGAGGATGTCCAAGTCAAAAGGGAAAACAAAAGATCAAAGATGAAAAAGAACCTACATTTATTGATGCTATTATATAGCTATAGATAAAGTACAATGGTGCAATTGGATACATGTAGTCAAGCCCATAGAGTGAGAAAGGGCTGAATTTGTTGATTTTTCTTTTACTTTTCTTGCTTTCTTTCTTTCTCTTTTTTTTTTTTTTTTTTGGCTACATTGAAACAAAATTTTGTTGTTCTGCTACTTTATTTTGGAAGGAAGTATTTACTTTAAGATAAGGAAGCAACCAGATAAAACAAAAAATTCTAATTCAAAGAACTTACTATAATTTCAAAAAATATAAAAGTACGAAAAACTGATGGTACTCATTGGACACATGCAAACAGAAGGAACCATATTTCATTTATGTTGATTTGGTGGTAATCTCAATTTGAATTGTGTGCTATGCTTTATGAATTTATACACACACACACACACATACATATGTATAGACACCGTATCTGTCAGTAAAAGGAAAAAGTTGAAGTGAAGAAAATCTACCACAGGATCTGGTGCATCATCCTGCTGACACATTATCCAAGGTACTCCAATATTCTGAGAAACTGCCATTCCAGCAGCCCATTTGACATATCGCTTTGCCCCTTCTCCATAAAATTGTTCATAAAATCCATATTCGTTTTCAACCTGCAATTTGAGGAAGATGTTTAATGTACTCTAAAAGCAATTGCTAAGAGGGGGAGTTTGCACATTGGAATAGTTCAAAGGAAAAAAGAATAATGAAAGGAAAAAAATTGAGCATAAACTAACACAGCGTTCTTCCTCCTATCTATAAGAACTGCTTACATTTCATCCTTTCAACGTATATCAATTTGAACAGCATACCATATCAATTCAGATTCCATAACTACAAAGTTAATTGCTATTTAGTATCGTTTTCAGTAATATATAATGAAATTTGACTTAAATGTCTTTACACACTGATGCAAGAAAAAAATATACAGCCTATGATATCAACTCAATTTCTTGAGAACATGGATAATCTTCTAACAAAGGCAGTGACCAACAAGCATATAGCTCAATTGATCAGGCAAACAATACTACTATTCTAAGTAAATGAGCCATAACTGAGCTAGTTAGTTTCTAAAACTCACAATTGTGACTCTTTGATTTACATTTTCCAGAATGTTATAATTTTGAAGATCTTAGAAGTTCATTCCTTTATCATAGATGTTCAGGATAGAAGTTCCTTAAACAATATTTATGCAAATTTTTACTCATAAAAATGTAATCAGCAGAGTGAACTGTTTCATTGATATTCAAATCGTCTCAATGGCAAGCAGAAGCTCCTCAAACCCTTAGGTCCCAGGTTCAAGTCTCACTATCTATGAGTTTAGTCCAACTTTACGTTGGTTTTGTCTACTTCATTTGTTTCGTTGGTTTGCTTATTGATTCTTCCATGGATATACTATGTGAAAAGTGTTTTGATTGTGATTAGAATTTCTACTTGTAAATGTAAAAGTGACCTTTCAAAAACAAAAAAAAAAACCAAATAAAGGGATTGCATAAAACTATAGCATATCTTAAAGTCAAGAATCAGAGGAGAAGACCATCCATGTATAGATTTAGAAATCAAGTGAAACTAGAGAAAAGGAATGTTAAGAAATTTCTGTAACCTCTATACTGCTCAAGTAACAATTTTCTCTAACCTTTATTCACCATGATACGCCAAATCTAATCAATGTGGGATTTATCACCACTTTAATAACCCCCTAGCATGGTGTATGGACAAGGGACTTATCATTCGATATGTAATTCACAGGTAGAGATAATGGGCTGATTATGTAGCATGGACTTCACACGTAGGCATAATGCCTATCATAGAGGGGCCAACAAAGGGGCAGAGTCTATTTTAATACCACGTTAAAATTTAAGAGAGCACCCAACCTAAAACGAATTGGCAATAGGGGAGAGGACTTTGTTATATTAATGTTCCCAGCATAACCCAAACTTAATTGATGTGGGACTTCTATCACCAGTTAAAACTCCCCATCACATGTAGGGATAATAGAGAGGATACCAAATTTAATCAATGTGGGATTTTATCACCAATTTAATGGGTTGGCTTCCCTCCATTATCCATTACTTCTTCGTCCATTACTTTTCAATGCATCCATCATCATTGTTCACATATGTAGTACCCAAGCATGAATTTTGGATACCATATATGTGAATGGTGATTAAAGGTGTATTAAAAAGTAATAAATAGAAAAGGAATGGAGGGGCGCCAACGCCCACTTTATTACACAGTTCAAATCAGTTTTTCAAAAAAGCAAAACTTTTGCAAAGGCTACTTCCAAGTTAATTTTGCACTTGCCTGGGCCAAGATGATTGGACCTCCTTGCGATGCAAAAAGCTTCTCTTGCTTCATGAGGTTCACTATGAATGTCATGAACTTCTGCATGTAATACTAAATCACAAAAAGCAACCAAGTGAATAGCTTAGCACTCATACAGCATTTCATAAAGTTTCAAGTAAAGAACAAAATGTTAACAGCTAACGATGAAAGTAACGATAACTACTACGGCTACTATTCACTTATCTGAGACACCAGCTGTTCCAATTTCTAACCTTGAAGGGCTCATTATCAGATCGAAACACAGTTCCAGGGACATAGTGCAACCAGACAGGTACCCCCCTGTATTATGCACATTTTAGATAATCTAAGATAGGAATCCATACCTCCTAGATATTTTAATATTATTAAATATTAACAAATGTGTAATTCAATTATTTCAAGCATCAAAATGCCAACTTTTTTAAATGGGTTAATCTCATGAATGGCCTTTAAACTATAGTGAAATAATCAATGTCGTACTTGAACTTTAAAAATCTCTAATGTGATACTTGAACTATGAATTTGTTAACTAATATGGTACTTACATCTAATATGTCTAGCTTCAAACAATGACACTTAGCGGACAAACAGTTTTCAAGTACTACATTAGTTAACAAATTCATAATTCAGAGTTCACATTAGATGTTTTTAAAGTTCAGGTATCACATTGAACGTTTCACTATAATTTAGGGTTCATTCAAGACATTATCCCTTTTTAAATCTATGACAAAATGTAAACACACCCAAAATTCCATTCAGCTGCTACAAAGGGGCCAATTCGAAGAATCATATACATCCCAGCTTGCTGAACAATCTTTACAAACTTGACCAGATCGTATCGTCCTTCAAAATTGTACTGAAAATTAACAATGGAAAGGTGAGAAATTTCGATCTTGGTCAACAAAAATACATTTCATTTTGAGCAATCTTCGTCCTACAAACAACTGCAGCAGATTTGAAGCACTCACTTTTCCAGGAGAAAGCTCATGTCCATTCCAAAACACATAAGACTCAATGGCATCAACCCCTCCTTCCTTTGCGGTTTGAACCAGCCCTGGCCACATCTGCCACGTTACAGATTAAGCATATGAAGCAAACATTTTATATTTGAAGGGAAAAAATCCACAATGTATATTCCAAAGAAAACAAGCAATTAGTGAGGATGAAGTTGGTTTGGAAAATCATTGCACCCTTAAAGAGATTGTAATCGGTATTAAAGCAAAAGAAAAAAATGAAGAAGCAATCAAATCCCAATTGAAATCTGGCAAATTGGGGTTTCTTTAAAGGCCGACCAAATAAAAGTGAGAAACTGACCCCAGGAACGCTACGGGGGTAATGAATGGCAGCAGAAATGAGGAGCTTGCGTTGGCCATCGATGATGAGAGAGCGGCGGTCATAAGTTACATTGGCAGCAGAACAAAAGTTGAACAAAATAATGAAAGAAAACAAGAGGAATGGGAAGAGCTTCATATTTTTGGATAGTTTTTAGATGAGCTTTGGTTTTATTAATTTTTATAGAAAAGAAAAAGGTAGATGAGATGAGAGAGTGACTGCAGTCATGAATTCATATACATTAGCATTGCTGATTGCTGAGTCGGTGGCAGTCACAGACGGAAGGCAGTGGGCCATAGTGGAAAAATTGATAGATTTGCCGCGTTTTTTTTCTCACAAAATCTTGCAGGTGTTTTTTTTTTCTTAAGGCTTTATACTATTGTTATTAAATCAATTATTATCGCATCATTAACTAATAAATTTTTAAAAAAAATAAAATTTTTAGAATATAACTAATAAAAGTTAACTTCGACTTATTTTTTAATTTTTTTCAATTTTTAAAATTTTTTAAATTTTTAAATTTATTTATTAATGATTATGGCAATATTTAATTAAAATTTTTAAATTTATTTATTAATGATTATGGCAATATTTAATTTAATAATAGTGTATACATTATCACGGCATTAAATATAATTTTTTTTTAAATTCATAATAATTTAGATTCAAGTCTACAAGTTTGATTAAATAGTTATATTTTTATTTGTTAATTAATTATTTAGTGATTATAATTAATTAGTTTGTGACCAATGTAATGTATGAATTTTTTTATGTATATACTTATACATATAAATGTATAATATTCTTAATAAAAAATATAAATTTTATATTTACACTAATTTATGACTCATTTGATACATAATATATATAATTATATACGCAAATGGTATTCTTAATAAAATACAAACTATTCTTAACAAGAATTATCCAAATTCTTTTTTTAACATAAAAAAAATCCTAAAAACATGGAATTAATGCAATTTTTCCTTCAAATTATAAATTTTGAATTCTTACCTAATTTGTTTTTTTAAAAAGGAAAACAAAATCTTTCCTAGTTTAATGATATTATTATTGTCAACCCGTTAAAAGTCTAATTTCTTTTTACTTATTTACTACGTTAAATTTTATTTAATTTTTTATGGGTAATTAAAATATATGAAAATATATTTATGAGTAATTAGCTTTTTATTTAGTTTTTATTTTTATTTGTATTATTGACAAAATTAACCATATAAGGTAAAAATGTTTTATATTTAAAAGGTAATAAATATAATTAATTTAGTCTAACTAATTATTTTTTAAGTAATAAAAAATTACTATAAAAATAATAAAAATATTTTAAGTAAATAAAATGCATTTATTAAAGAATACATAATGATTCTTTAAACACATCCACATGTCAAAAATGTAAGCTATCTATATTGGATTTCTTTCTTTTTTTATCAAAAGTTTTTTACTTTTATATATTTATATAAAATATATATATATATATATATACTAAAATATATAGTTGATAAAATTGTTATTCTAAAAATAAAACCTAGCGATTGCTTAAACAAAAAATATGAGTAAAACCTCAATAAACTTATAAAAAAATAGCAAACAATACTACAAAATAAATTTCTTATAAGATAATGGAGACAAAATTGCAGTAAAAGAAAGTTGAAAAATAGTCAAATTCGATTTACTTACTATTCTATTTTGAAAAACATTATATTTATATTACTATCAAAAGACAATTTCGTAAATGTATTAAAAAGTTATTATTATTAATTGTATAATGTAATAAGTAATAAAACATATGAAATTAATGTGATTTTTTATTCAAAATTACAATTTCCAAATTCTGGCCTAATTTGTATTTTTAAAAAAGAAAACAAAATCTTTTCTAATTTAATGATATCATTATTGTCAATCAGTTAAATGTTTAATTTATATTTTCTTATTTACTACATTAAATTTCATTTAATTTTTCATGAGTAATTAGAAATATGGAAATATATTCATGACTAATTAGCTTTTTATTTAGTTTCTATTTTTATTTGTATTATTATTGACTAAATTAATTGTAACTTATTCATATAAGGTAAAGTATTAGATATTTAAAATATAATAAATGTAATTAATTTAGTCTAATAATTATTTTAAAATGTTACCATAAAAATAATAAAAATGTTTTAATTAAATAAAATGCATTTATTAGAAAACACATAGTGATTATTTAAACTCATCCATATGTCAAAAATATAAGCTCTCCACATTGGATTATTTCCTTTTTTATGAAAAGTTTTGGCTTTTATATATTTATATAAGATTATTGACTAAACTAATTGTAACTTATTCATATAAGGTAAAAATATTGAATATTTAAAATGTGATAAATGTAATTAATTTAGTCTAACTAATTATTTTAAAATATTACTATAAAAAATAATTAAAATATTTTAAATAAATAAAATGCATTTATTAAAAAACACATAGTGATTTTTTAAATCCATCCACATGTAAAAAATATAAGCTCTCCACATTAGATTATTTTCCTTTTTATGAAAGGTTTTGGCTTTTATATAATTATATAAAATAAAAGCCAAAGCCACTAACAAAATAGAAAATAATCTAATGTAGATAATCTATATTTTTGACATGTGAACAATCTAAAAGTTTTACATGTGTTTAAAATTAATTATGCATTTAAATTTAAAAATTTAATGGTAAAATAAATATTCTGTAAATATATAAAACTAAAGCCTCTAAAAAAAAGAAGAAAATAATCAAATGGAGATAGTTTACATTTTTTACATGTGGATAATTAAAAAAAATTTTACATGTGTTTAAAATTAATTATGCATTTTAAATTTAAAATTTAGAATTTAATGGTAAAATAAATTTAATTTAATATATCTTATTTCCTTTATTATAAAATACATTTAATGATTCTTATTAACATTTATTTTTAAATGATTAATTGACTAAAATAAATTGAAAACCAAATCAAGAGTAATAGTATCTTAAATTGAGAGTAATGTATGCTTTATAATTAGAATAATTAAGTATAATGTATATTCAATAAGCTTACGAGAAATAAAAAATAGATTTTAAAATTAATGTAATAATGATAATAAAATTAAATTTTTATTAACTGATAGTTTTTATACATTCTATAAATTACTCTCATTACTTTCATTTTTAGTCAACTTATTATAATAAATATTAAATACCTTAAACACCTTATTAATCTTATATCTTATCTTATATTAATATATAAAAATCAAAGCCTTCGACAAAAAAAAAAAAAAACTGTGCATGTTCTATTTTTTACACTTATACGATCATGAATAAACGACATGTGTCATCTAATAAATACATTTTATTTTATTTTAAATTTTTAAAAAAATTAATATGCTTAATTTTATTTGATTCATTTGTAATGTAAAAAAAGTAAATTTATTTAATTTAGATTAGTACATTTATTCTATTTGATTTATTCATTACTCTTATCTTATATAAATAAGTTTCAATTCAATTTATAATCAAAGTTAATTGTTTTTTTTTTACTTTAAATCACTTTCAATTAAATTTTATTCGTAATATTTCATATCAACTTCAATATTATAAACAGGAATATATTTTTGTTCGTTAAAGATGATAGTATTGAAAGTTTGTTTTATAATTCTATTATGTTTCATTTCTTTTTTTTTTTATTTGCTCCATTAATATGTTTCTTTTTCTTTCATTTGTTTTATTCCTCTTTATTCCAAAGTGTGATTTCTTTTATTATTTTTAATATTAAAATTTGCTTTTTAGCAAAAAAAAGTCTGCTTTTACTTTTGGGAACAATATTAGTATGATATACAAATATATTGATATGCCTTAGAAATTAATCTAAACATTTCATACACAATATAAAATGGCTTGCTTTATTTTATCTTTATATTTAATTTTTAGTTTATTTTTTAATGAAATAATTTAAAATTTTAATTTATGTGCAAATATATATACGTATGCTATGTGATTAATATTGACTACAAAGTGTTATCAATTTTTCTAATTGGAAACAAATTGTTACTAGAAACACGTTTAATCTCAAATACTATAGTGAAGAATTACTGGCATGAAGAAAATAGGATATGGTACGAAAAGGAATATCCAAACAAATATGAATGGCTTACACTATTTAGTCTTGCATGAGATTAACAATTTCTAAATTTTAATTATTCTAATACCAAATGAAATTCAATTATCTTATACAATAAATGAAAATAAAAATTTATTTTGTTATCTAAATTATAAATATATTGATTTCTTAAATATTATTATATGTAATGAGAATTATGTTAATTGATTTGCTTTGTCATTTCTTTTGAAAATTCAAAATGAAATTGAAGATCATATTAATCATTTAACGTACAATCACCATTTATTATCTTTAACTAAATTAATTGGTGTCGTTTAAGTTTAAGAAATGCGTTTAAAATGTGTTGGCCTTAATTGGAGTAAATTGAATAATAGAGATAATAAATTATTGCATTTCTAATGATACGTTATTTATCCATCAATAAGCCTTGACAGTTAAGAAAAATGGATCTTATAATAAGAAATTGTGTTAATAGGCATAATTTTTTTAAGAGTAAATTTGTTTCTTAAAAATTAAAGTAAAAATCAAGTTTTCAGATAGTGTCAGTATTAATCAAATTGAGTGTTATTGACAAAGTAAAGTTAAATAAGGATTTAAACCTTTCAAGAGATCAAGGGTTAAGAATTGATTTATCTAAATGATTTATTAATAAATATAATATTACAATTATTTCCTTATAAATAGCCAATGTTTTTGCCTTTTTTGAATAAGTTGTAATTAAATTTTAATTTTTCATTATTGTTTACCTTTCATTGCTCAAAATTAAATTCCATTCTTAACTTTTAACATCCAACATTGACAGTACATAAGATAGAAGTTTGGTTTAATGTATTACAATTTAATAATTAATACTGAAAAAATTTAAATTTAAATTATTATCGAAAGACCAAATTTTAATTTTATATATTATCTTTTTAATATTACAATAGTATATTAAATAAAAGATTTCTTTTCTATCTCATGAGAAAAGAATTTATCTTACTTCCAATTAATTCATTCATATGAAAAACATATTTTAAAAAATTATTATCTATCAACTATTTGACTTTTGAA